ACGCAGGGCCGGCGGCCTCAACGACGCGGTACCTAGGTCCCCTCCCCCGAGCCTGAACTCCTCTCGGACCGAGATATTTCTCCATATCAAGGAGAAAGGCCTTCTCAAAGACCCCTACCCGATGAGGAGCCCGCGCGAACTCGCGGACCGCTCTAAATACTGCCGTTTCCACCGGCAGCCCGGTCACGACACCGAGGAGTGTCGAGAATTAAAAAGGCAAATTGAGGAGCTCATCCGTCGAGGACATCTCGGCTCATACCTCCGGCCAGATAAGGAGCTCTCGCCACGCCCGGAGGGCCCCATCGAGCGGCACATAGATGTCATAACCGGCGGGCCAGCGTCCGGAGGGAGTTCCACGGCGGGTGGAAAGGCATACGCTAGGGCCTCCCGGGCTGAAGCTTTCAAACATGAAAAGGGTCCCGAAGTCACCTTCCCAACCGGGGAACCTGAACCAACCGAACATGATGACGCGTTGGTAATATCAGCCAGAATTGCCAACGCGCAAGTGAGTAGGATCATGGTCGACACTGGGAGCTCGGCCGATATACTATATTGGGACGCCTTCCCAAAGCTCGGCCTGGTAAAGGAGAACATGAAGCCGGTAAGCTCAACACTCACGGGGTTCACCGGCGCCTCGATCTCGTCACTAGGGATCATCACCCTGCCCCTGACTCTGGGAGCCTTCCCGAAGGCAAAAACGGTGATGACCTCCTTTTTGGTGGTCGACCTCCCCACGGCATACAACGCCATCCTAGGACGGCCAACCCTCAACAAGACCCGAGCCGTCATCTCAACGTATTATCAAACCATCAAGTTCCCGACCCACGATGGGGTCGGGGAAGTGGCGGGAAACTCCTGGGAGTCTAGGCGCTGCTATTTGACCGCTGTGTCATTAAACAAGAGAGCGAGGATCCAATCCCCACTGGAGGACCCCCGGGAGGGAAAAAAAACGACCCCCCGCCCCGAGCCGAAAGAATCTACCATCGACTTGCCACTGGTAGAAGGAAGTCCCGACCGAACAGTCAAAATCGGGTCGGGACTGCCCGAACAAGAACAACGACAACTCGTCGGCCTTCTACAGGCCAACGCCGACATCTTCGCTTGGACACCGGCCGACCTAGCGGGAGTCCATCCAGAGGTCGCGCTACACCACCTGAACATCTCGTCCGACGCCCGCCCGGTGAAACAAAGGCCCAGGCGGCAGGCCCCGGATCGACAGCTGGCCATCCGAGAAGAAGTAAACCGGCTTCTGGCGGCCGGTTTCATTGAAGAAGCAAGATACCCACAGTGGCTCTCCAATGTAGTCCTTGTCAGAAAACCTAATGGAAGCTGGCGGATGTGCGTTGACTACACCAGTCTCAACAATGCTTGTCCAAAAGACTGCTACCCCCTGCCGAAGATCGACCAGCTGGTCGACGCCACGGCCGGCCACGCCCGACTATCGTTCATGGACGCCTTCTCCGGGTACAACCAGATCAGGATGGCACCCGAAGACCAAGAACACACAGCCTTCCTCACCGAGCAGGGGATATATTTTTACAAAGTTAAGCCGTTCGGATTGAAAAATGCAGGGGCAACCTACCAGAGGACGGTGAACAAGATGTTCGCACACCAGATCGGACGAAACATGGAGGTGTACGTCGACGACATGATCATAAAGAGCCGAACGGCGGAAGCTCATCCTTCCGACCTGGCGGAAGCTCATCCTTCCGACCTGGCGGAAGCATTCGACACTCTGCGGAGGTTCGGCCTGCGCCTCAACCCCGCCAAGTGCGCCTTCGGCGTGACCTCGGGAAAATTCCTCGGATTCATCATACACGAGAGAGGGATTGACGCCAACCCAGAAAAGATACAGGCTATCATCGACATGCAGCCCCCTCGGACGATCAGAGACCTGCAGCGCCTTAACGGGAGGCTAGTCGCTTTGTCGCGTTTCCTCTCCCGATCGGGAGATCGCTGCCACTCTTTTTTCCAGGCCCTGAAGGACCCGAAGAACTTCCGATGGACGGCGGAATGCGAGAAGGCCTTCGAGCAAATGAAGCTACACCTGGCCAGCCTCCCGCGACTCGCTTCGGTCTCCCCGGGGGAGAAGTTGAGTCTCTACCTTGCCGTCTCCCGGCACGCGGTCAGTTCGGTTCTAGTCAAAGAAATGTCCGGCGACCAACTGCCGGTCTACTACGTCAGCCACATGCTGAGCGGGCCAGAAGAACGCTACCCGCCGATCGAAAAGCTGGCGCTGGCGCTCGTCCTGTCGGCACGGAAGCTCCGCCCTTACTTCCAGGCCCACCCGATAGAGGTAGTAACTGATCAACCGCTTCGGCTTGTTCTGTCCAAATTCGACGTTGCAGGGCGTCTCCTCAAATGGGCAGTGGAGCTCGGCGAGCACGACATACAGTACATACCTCGGACCGCCATCAAAGCCCAGTCTGTGGCAGACTTCATCGCGGAGCTAACCCCGAACACAGGCGAAGAACTCGAGCCACCGCGTGACACGTGGACCCTCCACGTAGATGGCTCGGCCAACGCAAAAGGCGCCGGCGCGGGGCTGGTACTGGTAACACCTGACGGCCGCTCGATTGAGCGCTCCTTCCACTTCAGGTTCAGGGCCACCAACAACGAGGCAGAATACGAGGCTCTCCTAGCGGGGCTCCAGTTGGCACTGGAGATGCGGGTGGCCGACATACGCGTCATCACCGACTCACAGCTGGTGGCTAGGCAGCTCGGCGGCGAATACGAGGCTCGGGACCCGACTATGGCGAAATACCTAGCACAGGTGAAAAGCCTTGCCGCCAAGTTCGCCCATTTCGAATTGTCGAATGTTCCCAGGGGCGAGAACCAGCGAGCCGACATCCTGGCCAAACTGGCGTCCGGCCCGGCCCCTTGGGCTCGGCCCGAGACTGAAGAACTCCCCCGCCGAGCCATAGAGGTCGTCGCCACCGTCGCCCACAACGCGCCGGCAACTTGGATACAGGAGATGTTACGCTTCAAGCAGGACGGAACCCTGCCCGACAATGCAACTGCAGCTCGGCGCTTGCGTCGGACGCAGGCGTGGTACGCCGAGGAAGGAGGACGGCTGTACAAGCGGTCCTTCTCGCGCCCCCTCTTGCGCTGCCTGGAGCCGAGCGAAGCCCGGACGGTTCTGTCCGACATGCATGAAGGGGCCTGCGGGGAGCACATAGGCGAACGAGCCCTGGCGCACAAGGTACTCCGACAGGGATACTACTGGCCGACCCTGCGCCAGGACGCGAAAGCTTTCGTGCGGCGATGCGGCTCGTGCCAGGAGCACGCCCGCACCGCCCGGCGGCCGGCGGTCCTGTTCACCCCCGTCGATTGTGCATGGCCATTCGCGCAGTGGGGGCTGGACATACTCGGGCCTCTCCCGCCCGCCTCCGGCCAGCGGAAGTACATCATCGTGGGAGTGGACTACTTCACCAGATGGGTCGAAGCCGAGCCCCTAGCAACCATCACGGAGTCGCAAGTAGAAAGATTCGTGTGGAGGAACCTCATAACTCGTTTCGGCCTGCCCCAGTCCATCGTCACCGACAACGGACCTCAGTTCGCCGGCCGGAAATTCCAAGAGTTTTGCGCCAGGCACAAAATTCAGCTGAGGTTCAGCTCGGTGGCTTACCCCCAGGCGAATAGGCTGGCCGAAGTAACCAACCGGTCCATCGTCGACGGACTCAAGAAAAGGGTATCCACTACCCGATCGGCTTGGGTCGACGAGCTCCCGAGCGTCCTGTGGGCGCTTCGCACTACCCCCAAGACCCCGACCGGGGAATCTCCCTATAGCCTCACGTTCGGGACCGAGGCCGTGTTGCCATCCGAGGCGACCGTCCCGACTCCGCGGACGGCAGGCTACAGCGAAGAAGCCTCGGGCGAAGGGCTCCGATCAAACCTGGACCTGCTCGAGGAAAGACGGGCCAACGCGCATCAGAAGGCTCTTTCTTACAAAAGGGCCGTAGCGAGGGTCTACAACCGAAACGTACGACCCCGATCGATAAGGCTAGAGGACCTGGTCCTACGCAAAGTCGAGGTCAGCCACCCAACTCAAGTAAGGGGGAAACTAACCCCAAAGTGGGAGGGACCCTATCGGGTCATCGGAGTATCCCGACCGGGAACGTTCCGACTCGCAACAATGGATGGCAACCCCGTGCCCAGGACTTGGAACGTACAGAACCTTAGGAAATACTTCGTCTAGAGATGTGGGCACCACGAAAACACAGAAAATAGAAGAAAAGATCATTTCATTTAAGAAAGGGGGTACAGTACAGCAACCGTGAAACGGGAACCAGACTCACGCACAAAAAACCTTCACACCCTTAACCCCGACCCCGACATAGAAAAACTAAAAACTCATCCCTCTTCTGGAGTCTTCGGACGGTCGTCGAACGGCACATCCTCTGGCATGTCCACCTCCTGATCCGCGGGATGAAAAGCAAACGGATCTCTCTCCACCTCGGAGCCGGAAGGGCGTGAGCCGAAGCGACCTAGGGCGATTCGGTATCCGTACTCGTAGGATACCCGCCCCATCCGGATCAGTCCGAGCTCGAAGTTCTCGGACTTCTTGTAAGCTTCGATCACCTCCTTGTCCTTCGACGGGCGGAGGCGAATCTCCTCGGCGAGCGCATCGGCAGTGGCGCGAGCTTCAGCCTCGGCCTTCTCCACCCTCTCGGTAAGGCCGAGCGCCTCCGACTTCAATAGGCGAAGCTCGGCCCGATCCACACGAAGAAACTCTTGGAGTTCCTTAACCGAGCTGCCCGACTGTTCGAGCTCCGCCCTCAAACGCGCCACTTCCTCCTCGGACTCGGTTGCACGCTTCTCCGCGGCCGCCACCGCCTCTGGGCCCGACCCAGCCCTAACTTCCTCCAGCTGACGGCACAGCTCAGAGTTGCACTCACTAAGGTTCCAAATTACCTGGCCCGCGTCACGCACGCGGTCCATCAGCGCCGTCGAGTAATGGAGGCCCTGCCGCAGAAAAAAAGGGGGGGGGGGGTCAGCACACGGCCATGAGGATGCCAGGAATTGACAAAACGCTTACCAGTGTCAGAAACCGCCCCGCCTTGCTAAGCATGGCCTCCGAGGGCAGGGTGTACAGATCCCGAGCTAGGTCAGGGTGGAGCACTCCTCGAAGAAAGGCGGCCGAGGGATCTCCCCCGGCCCACACTTTGTCCCCTCGGGACAGCCCTTTCCAGCGGGCGACTAGTGGGTCGGAGGCCTCCCCCGAGGGAAGCTCGCCCATCACCAGCGACCATAGGGGCTCGTCGGCCCCCGTGCGTAGCCCGCACAGGTCATCCACCGTAGGCAAGCTCGACCTCTTCCCGGCCGCCCCCTGGCGAGG